AACCTCTTTGTATTTAACGGAAAACAACAATAAAACAAACTGTGTTTCTCAAGTTCTTTGTCTTTGAATATCACAACATGTATGTGTCGCTCCGATTGCCCGTAATTTTTATCTATCACTACTAGATACTGGGAAAAGAGAAACTGTCCACACTGGCATCTTTTGTACAAGAGTTTCGTTTCCTTCTTTTGTAGTATTACTTGGATTAGTTTTCAGAAGTATCATTTCATTATTTACTGAATTGACATCCTTTCTCTTGTCTTCCTTGGCTTCTCTTCATTCTCAATCTGGCAGATATTATTTTAGGTTTCACTAAATAGTGAATCCAAGCCTATTAAACACCTGAATGGTTTCTCGCTAAAACCCAACCCAAACCGCCAGGTGGCTTGTTTTTCGTTTTTTGTTTATCCTTTTTTTTTCGCACTTGCTATAATATCTGGGCATGATAAATCAAAGCAGCTCTGAACCCCCCCCCCCCCCCCTAAAACATGCTTGTAAGTAGATAGAGATTGAGATTCTGAGGCATTTTTAGTATATGTATATGTTAGAATGCTAAATTGATTCTGTGGTTCACATGACTGCTAAGCCCTACTTCTTTTGCAATCTAGGACTACAAATGGATGAATGAGGATGTTCTAGCTATTATTCTGTTAGTCCCCTGTATAGCTACGTATATCGGCTGGGCTCGCACTCTTTGGACTGCACATTGAGAGGTTTATTGTTTTCTTTCTATACTGCCAATTTGAATTTTTTACTTCGTTTTCTTTGTTTTGACTTGTGTATTGCTTTCAATATGTGGGATTATAGTAAGACTAGCTAATTTATAATTTTTTTTGCTGAGTTTTCAACAGATTAGAATGCTTGGGGGCTCTTCTGCCCTCATATTGATGTTCTCCATACGCTCTTCAAATGTTAACTAATGATCTAAGCATCCCCTTGCTGGTACGCTACTCTTCATTTCATTTCTTGCCATCCCGCATAGTATTCTGTTCTCTGGATAAAAAGAAGCACATAAATAGGGTAACCAAGTGTTATCACTTTCATGTGTGCTAATTATTTTACAATTTTGTGTTGACGAAATCCTAGATACAATGCTTTTCTTAAATTGCTCTTGATGAGCATTCTGTAGTTTGACCTAGTATCCTTTGTAGTTTAGTTTTATTATCAGCTTATTTAATACATTGGATATGCATTTCCCATGTTTCAAACTGAATGCTCCTAGATTAAGTGCTCTGCATATGTAAGTTGCCCAAGTTATGGTGCTTATTTCAAAATGTTGTATTTAGCTTTATATTCCATCACTGTCAGCCACAATTAACTTCTTATTTGTTGGATTTGGTATATTTTTTTTCCTCCCCTCGTAAGCTCAAAGATGCGAGTTTTGGCTCACTTGGGAATAAATAATAAACTAGTAAGAATCCAGTGATCTATAATAGTCTCATACTATGTGGGTCAGAACCATTGCTAACAGACAAAGGAGAAAAAGAAGAGGACGAAAAATTGGACCTTTGCTTCTAAAAGTCAAAAAAGTTTGTCAGGCAGGAAAAAATTCACAATATTTCTCATTGGGTGAGTAAAATATTTTTTACAGTATTTCGTGGATTGTTGAGGTAATTCCCTTTATCATTTTACTGTGAGCAATTTCTAATTGAAAGTTGATATTTTAATTTTTCTTTTCGGAGTTACATTTGCATGATGCTCTGAAGCTTCTGTCATACTTTAAGATTGGTTTCTAATCTGAATAATTATTCTATTCGCACTTTGAATATATAATTTTTGGCATTTGTAGTGTTCCAATTGAATAAACCGGCCTTTCTATGTAAATTAATTTATGGCCGTCATTGTTTCTTTTCCATTCTTAATTTTTTAACCCCTGCAGTCCAGCTCACAATATCTTAGTTTATCATTGACATGCTTGAAGTTTAGATGATAATCGGTGCGATTACTTGCTTTTCTACTCCATCAATTTTATTTTTGTTTGGTGCTGCAGTATATTTTGTGAACTTTGAGTAGTCTTTCTTTTATGTTGCTATTTAGTTTGTTGGTTGACTTATTGATTATGCATTGAATTGATGGTAGGAAAAAATGATAGAACTGCAAGATAAAACAGAAGCAGGGGAAAGTGAAAAAACGGAAGCTGAAATATGTGAGGAAGTACTAGGTAAAGCTTCCGGATTTAACCAAAATTTTGCATTTTCACAGATTGAGCATCAATCCACTGTAGCAGAAGCAGAGTTAAGGTGCATTGTGCAACAACAAGAAAATAAGATTAAACAGTTGGAGGACCAGCTTATCTTATTTGATCAACAAAAAGAGAAAATAAAAAGCCTTGAACATCAACAATTTGTCATGTTGGAGATGATGAAGCAGCTAACTATAGCCCTTGAACTATAGCAATCTGATAAAGCTCCAACTCGACAGCCATTGCCATCTCCAACTGATGAAGACTCGTTCTCATCAGTTACAGCTATTTCAAATACCGCAACTGGTGACACTTGACATGCTAACGGTATTGATGGTTATTTTTTTGTTGTATGGGCAGTAGATATTTTTACATGGGGGTAGAACCATCTTTTTAGGATTGTTTGCATATATGTGTTAGATGGTGTACATGGGGTGGGCATTTTTTTTGTTAGTTATGCACAGATAGATAGGTAGAAAAAGGAAAATGTGGGTGCATGCTGTTCTTTTGGGTTATGCACATGTGATAGTGTATTTTGGATTTTTATTGCTCATCATATATATATTGTTCATGTTGAATGTATAATGTAGGTCAATACGAAATGCTCTAAAAAAAAAATACATTCTGCAGCTAATTTTTTAGTAGCAAAAAGTCATTTAGCATAATTGCATTCCGCTGGAGGTCAATATGAAATGCTCTAAAAAAAACATTCTACAACTAATGATTTAGTAGTAAAAAGTAATTTAGTATAATTGCTTCCATATTCAACGTCTAAAAAATAGTCGTGCAAAACCTTTTGGATTTTACATTCAGCGTCTAAAATAATTACAATTAACCACTAAATTTTAGTCACCAAACGATAAATTCGTTCACTAATAAAATAGTCGCGAAAACTTATTGGATTTCACATTCAGCGTCTAAAATGACTATAATTAACTCTTAAATTTTGGTCATCAAAAGATACATTCGGTTACTAATAAAAATATTCCCAAAAACCTATTGGATTGTACATTCAGCGTTTAAAATGACTATAATTAACTACTAAATTCTGGTCACTAAAAGATACATTCGGCTACTAATAAAATAGTAGCGAAAACCTATTGGATTCCACATTCAGCATCTAAAATGATTATAATTAACTACTAAATTTTGGTCATTAAAAGATACATTCGGTCACTAATAAAATAGTTGTGAAAACCGTTTGGATTCTACATTCAGCGTCTAAAAGTATTACAATTAACCACTAAATTTTGGTCACCAGAAGATATATTCGTCGACTAATAAAATAGTTGCGAAAATCTTTTACGAAATTACCCTTACACCTTTGGCGTCTAATTTTTGTGGGATTCGCAACAAATTATTAGACACTAAAACGTATATTTTGCAATTAATTGATTAGTCGTTATACAATTTTAACAAATTACCCTTAAACTTTTAGCGTCTAAGTTGGGGGACTAATTTGACTAGCATTTAGCGACTATTTTGCTAGTCGCAAAAAAAAAAAACTTTTCGCGTCTAAACCAAAATTTAGGCGCGCTATGAATCTGCGACCAACTTACTGCAACTAAGGGGCGACTACCAAATTTAGACGCTAAAAATGGCTTAGCGTCTAAATGTGACTTTCTGCGTCCAATTTTGCTAGACGTAGAGTGCCAATTTTCTTGTAGTGATATATGTGTCTAAACGTTGCTTTTCAATATTTGCACTATATAAAAACAAACAATTAAATATTTATAATCAAATATTAGAAAATAACAAAAACAAATGTATATTCAGATAACAGACACGCAGAGTTTTTAAACAACGAAACAAAGGTCTCCTAAATAATAAGAGATATTAATAAATTGTATGGACCAAAAATGGTTTCCCTTTCTCATTTGATTGTGTGTCATGTTTGCTCCATTGTTTTTTTGGTAGGTGGGCCTCATTAATTTGGATCGAACTGTAATTAACAAAAATTTGAAGAAGTATGAATTTATTAATCTAGAACTAAATCTNCCAAAAGCCTTCCTTACTAATTTTAAAGTTTACAAAAATCCTTGTCATTTTTCTAACAGACCATAGAAACTTTGTATAGGATACAAGACGATCAAATGGTCAGTTGACTGTGTTTATCGGTATGGGTTGGGGCTATTCTTTTTTAATGTCCTTCTTGCTTGGTAAAAAAAAAAAAAAAAAAAATTTAGAGATAGATTAACGAACTTTATTACTTTCTTTGGCTGCAGATAGGAAATCAATGCCATTGAATGACCAAAGTTGCTGTAGCTGATTCTTCTTAATCAGGAGGTCTCCCTTAATCATACAGTTTCATGTAAGTGCTTACAGTAATATTAGAGTTTGAGATAGAGAATTAACGGTTAAACCATGGAATGCCTGAAGATTGAGCTGGAGATTGTCTGAATAGACTTCATGGGTTGCTCCAGAACAACTACATATAGCATGATGATAGAGCATAATACGGTTTATAGGATCTGAAATTCATTTTTCTACTGATAAATGAAGTTACTTGATACAAGATTATCTGGGAATGTCTGGTGCAGTAGTCAAAATTAATGAAATGCGATCTTCGAAATTGTTACTGGAGTGGTGCTGCAATAAATTTTACACTGAAATTCCATCGACTAGCCAATACAATATGGTATTCGCATGTTATACACAGCAATTTTAGGTCCTTAAAAAGTATTGTAATAGTTGTCATTTGGCGAGTGAACTTACCGTTGATCTTTGGAGAGCACTGGTGAAGGAGAATGCAAGGAATAAAGACACTTGGCTATTATTTCTAGTTGATGTGTACTGTGATGATAATAATGTTGCATTCTCATTCAGAAGATGCATCCTCTCGGCCTCCGGGTTTTGCTTGTCTTGGTGTGAAAAAAGGGCCAGCAACCAGATGAAAATTTGCTCTCAGCTTGCCTGTATAAAGTAGTAGATACACGAAATGAATTAGTAGATGAAAATTTGTACATTTCATTGAACTTCAGTAGAGGTTTATGAATGTTTCGAGACTCCGAGGGAGATTTCAGGTGAATGTTCTAACCAATAAAGTTGTATTTGAGTCAAATCATAGATTTGATAAACGGAAATTTTCTTTCTAATAATTTAACAGATACCTGTTTGTCCTACTGTTGTGTTTACTGCTTGTGCTACTGTTGCTGCTGCTGAAATGTTTGACAACAGTCGGTTTATTCTCTCCTGCCACAAATCTCTTTCTGATCCACTGCTCTTTATCAGGTTGATTCTCAGATATGTCAAGTGATGACCTTGGAGAAACCTTGGCCCGATTTCTGACGTTTGCTTTCTTTTTCGAACAAAAAGATATTGGAAAGAACATCTTGATTAAGAATGTTTCCTTCTCCATGCTTTCACTCCTCAAAATCTCAGCCGACTTGATGCTCCTTTTCTTGTTCTTCTTCTGCAGTTTCTTGGTTTCGCCTTCATTCTCAAAACAGCAACTTCTCTCATCAATCACTGTCTCATGCTTGACCTCTTGCTGTGTTTGTTGCTCGTCGACAATATCTTTCAATGAGAGTTCATAACTCCACTCGGGCATGTTATGAATCATCTCCATCAGCTCCTTTCTGCCTTCTGCAATTGCCTGCGACCGTATCCGCGGTGACAGATTACTGTATTGATGGTTGCAGGGAAGCAAAGGAGAAGATTCATATGCACTGATTTTCGAACCATTTGCCTTCCACAAAGGCGGGGAGTAAGCGCCAATTCCATCACCAACCTGTTCTTCGAAGTGAAACTCATTTCTATTATGCTCAGAACATGAACTTTTACCTGCACCCCAGAAGTCAAAATCAATACTTCCTTTACTTTGACGCTTGCTATGCATCTTGCAGGTTGAGATTGAAAGAACAAACTCGTTTCGCCGTCGCCGGCGGTCAAGCTTGGTTTAGAGAAGAAGTGAATGAATAGAGAAGAAGTGAATGAAGGGAGAAGTAACAAGAGCAAAGTTGTGACAAATGTGTTTAAGAGGGCAACATTTTCATGGAAGAGTGAAGTCTAGCCATTGTTTATTGGTTGGAACTCAAAAGTCATTGCCGTCTTGGATGGGAGGACAAGGGCTTAGTCCAATTTTCTTCACCTGTCTCCATCACAGGTTTTCATTTAGACAAATTGCAACCACCGGTTCCTGCATTTGATTTTGAATCTAATACTTTGTTTTGTCCACGCATTTCGTCATTTTACATTAAAATTTTTCCTCTTAAAAATCTTTTAAATTGGGTGTTCGTATTTAAACATATTAACTTAGAAAATTTATGAGATTTGGAATTTTTTATTGTCATGCTGATGTGATAAGACTGCCCAAATGAAAATTAACTATACATTGCATATATGTAATAGTATTCATCGACCACGTCCATATAACGATGTAGTGAAACTGTTATATGTAAGTTTTTTTCTCGTTGAATAAAGATATATAAATAGAATAGGTTGAAAATGAGTTACAGTTGTTGAAAAGTTGGAAATTTTGGTGAAATTCTCTTAACTGGACTTTGGCGTAAGTAAAGAGGAGGTGATTAAATTTGACTAAGGGAATTTGCTTAACCATTACACAATATCCAGATGCTAGGGGCCAAAATTTAAAGGTCCCAATCGTTACCAAAGCACACATATATTTGTCTTATGAGAGTAAACTTGGGTGAAGGGTACTTTGACTAATATTTGTTGTTTGTCCATTTGGGGAATAGTGAAGTTTCAAATGGGTCATAATTTTGGACCAATGATATGTCTTGATTGTTGGTATTTTGTCACTCTCTATGAGCTCGGGGTGATAATTACTTTAAATATAGGTTTATTTCATTTTCTCCAATATCAAACACGCTATTATATATTACTTTTAATAACATAAACCCTTGAAAAATATTAAACCCCACTAAAAAAAAAAAAAAAAAAGATATTTAATACTTTTCAATAAGGTACGCCTTATAGTAAGTGATCTTATCCTTGTAGGAGAAAGATGAAAATATTACGGACCCAAGATGGTTTTAAAATAAACATATCAGCTACAAATAAATGTTCATCCACATGCTATTCAAGGGTTGGTATCAATGATCAATCAATCAATCCTATAATTTAGCAGCAGATTCCAACTTTAGAAAGGTTTGATTTTTTGTTCCCGTGTCTTCTAGATTGTCTCTTCAGGAAAGTATGTGTTGACCAATCTATTTGTTCATTAACCATTTCTTACTTACTAATCCATCACGCTTATAGAGTCATTACAAGAAAAATGGCTTTCAGCGTCTAGCAAAATTAGATGTATAGTAAAATTTAGGCATTAAAAGTCTTGCGCGTCAAAATTTTGTAATCGCCACGTAGTTGTAAAATTGTTGTCGCAGAAAGTATGGGCATCTAAAAAGTAGGTTAGGCACGGAATTTTTTTTTTTTTTTTTGACAACTAGCAAATTAGTCGCTAATTGCTAGTTGAAATAGTCATCCAGCTTAGACGTTAAATGTGCAAGGGTAATTTGGTAAAATTATATCGTGACTAATCAATTAGTTGCAAAATGTACCTTTTAGTTGTTGCGAATGCCACAAAAATTAGACGCTGAAGGTGTAAGGGTAATTTCGTAAAAAAAATTCGCAACTATTTTATTAGTAGACGAATGTATCTTTTGGTGAGAAAAATTTGGTAGTTAATTCCAATAATTTTAGACGTTGAATGTGGAATCCAAATATGATAAATTACTTTTCGCTACTATGAAATTAGTTGCAGAATGTGTTTTTTTGTGAGAAAATAATTGGTTGCAAAAGCATTTCGTTTTTAGTTGGAAAATGTATATACCCAATTTGGTTTCTTACATTTGGTAACTAATGTTTAGTCATTAAAATTAATTTTTTGCATCTAAATAATATAGTAACCGATTGTAGATGAGTTTTGGAAACTAATTATTTTAGTTAGATATTATTGATTAGTCTTGGCTGCAGTATTATTTCTGCAACTAATACTTTAATAGCTAATTGGTTTACACTTAAGAGCATTATTTTTGCTCTTTGTAAATGACCTAGTTTATACATTCAACATCAACAAAATAATTGACACAATATAAAAATTTGATCACTAACATCAAATATCATATTTTCATATATATATATAGACCATACATGGATTTTTATGCATGATCCAAAATGCACTATCATGTGTGCATAACCAAAAAAGTAAGCATGCACCCCACTTAAGAGCATTATAGCTAATTGGTTTACACTTAAGAGCATTATTTTTGCTCTTTGTAAATGACCTAGTTTATACATTCAACATCAACAAAATAATTGACACAATATAAAAATTTGATCACTAACATCAAATATATATATATATTCCATACATGGATTTTTATGCATGATGAGCAATAAAAATCCAAAATGCACTATCATGTGTGCATAACCAAAAAAGTAAGCATGCACCCCACATTTTCATCAGTAGTTATCTATCTGTGCATAACTAACAAACAAAATGCCCACCCCATGTACACCATCTAAGGATATATGCAAGTAATCCTAAAAAGTCTAAAAAGATGGTCCTACCCCCATGTCAAAATATCTACTGCCCATACAACAAAAAACTAACCATCAATATTGTTAGCATCTCAAGAGTCACTAGTTGAGGTTCTTGAAACAGCTATGGCAGATGAGGAAGACTTTTCATTAGTTGGAGATGGAGATGGCAGTCGAGTTAGAGCTCTAGCAGATTGGGCGTGTGCAGTTGCTATAGTGATCTGCTTCAGCATCTCCAACATTTGAATATGCTGTTATTCAAGCATTTTGATTTTCTCTTTTTGTTGATCAAATAGGATGAGCTGCTCCTCCAACTGTTTAATCTTATTTTCTTGTTGTTATACTATGCGCCTTAACTCTGCTTCTGTTGGAGTATCATGATGCTAAGTTTGCGAAAATGCAAAATTTTGGTTTAATCTTATTTTCTTGTTGTTGCACTAGTGTTCAGCATGGTGATGTTTTATTTTGTTATAAGAATTATATTTAACGTTAAAAGTTAAAACCCTAAACTCAATGGCGGAGCTATGAGAGGGCTAGCTTTCGGAAAAAAATTATGAAGTTAATTAAAAAATTATTATAATATTATTGCAAAAAAATTGCCTTTAAAGCTTTTTTAATTTTTCTTCCTTTTTATTTTCTTTTCATTTGAGCTTTACTTCTTCTGTTCTCTTAAATTAATGTTAGAGCTTCAGTAACCGAATTAAAAAAAAAAATTGTCCTTTTTTTCATCATTATATTTTCGAAAATATTAGAAAAGCTTAAATTTTTAGAAAATTTTAACCTCAAATTGTTATTCTTTTTTGTTACGCCAGAAAAAGTAGAGTTGACGTAGAGTCTTGTTAGCATAGGGTGGCCAGAACTTAAGGAGGTTCCACGACCACTCAGATGCGGCCACGTTGCGTGATGACGTGAGTGGCATGCTCTCACCAGTGTAGTGGGTGAACGCCAGGTTAGCGAATGGTTGGAAACCGTCCTCGTGTCCAAATCCCTGCATAAGTCGAGGAAATCACTCGAGCAGGTGAGCAATGGGACATAGGGAAGGATTTGCACGATACTTACCCCACTTGCAGATTTAGTAATCATTACCTTGATTAATCCCACTATAAATAGAGGTCTTCTCTCTCATTTGCCAGATTGGCTAATTTTACTTTGGAATAGCATACTCTCTCTCTCTCTCTCTCTCTCTCTCTCTCTCTCTCTCTCTCTCTCTCGTATTCTCTAAGTTGTAACTCAGCTCGCTGAATGCGACCTGACCTTACTCTCATTAATACAATATCAGTGGACGTAGGATTTGCTTTTGAGCAAACGAACCACTTTAAACATTATTCTTAATCCTTTACCAAATTAAATACTTCCATAATCACGTGTGACTTCTAAGCCCGCTTAGCATTTCTCACGTGCGAATAGTTGGTGTCAAAATCAAGCATCAACAGTTTGGCGCTAGAAGGAGGACCTGATTTAGTACCTGTTCTTCATCAGGAGAACCTCTGACTAAGCGGTCCCACTACAGCAAATGGCTCACAGTTTCGAATCTAAGCGAACCAATTATGGCAATGAAGAGATCCCCTAGGTACAGGAGGACACTTCTCCCGAAGTGCCCCCAGCTCAGCAAAATATCATGAGGGATATCCTTTCAAGCTCACGGCTTGATCTAGCTGTCATGAGTTACCTGGAGAGGTTCAACAATACTCTCTAAACGGTCAGCCAAAAGCTAGATCGATTGGATCGAGTCATGCCACCAGAATCAAATGAGGCGGTGACACCGCTGAAAACGCTTGCAGGTCGGATGAAAACGTGGAAAAGGGCAAAAGCCCATACCATACGCACTGTAGCACGTCAAAGAAAGGGAAAACAAGTGGTGCACAACAGACCTAAAGGCTCTGAGGGAACAATGAACACTGTTCATGCCCCGGGTAGAATACCCGTGGCATTATGACTCGGTGATATGTCGTGACCTAAGCCATCCCACGCCACATCGCACGAGTACTCCCACAAAAGTGCAATGCGGGGAGATTCCCATTATCGCTAAAATGACGACTTTGATCGTCGTCTTGCAGGGGATTCCCACCGTCAGCTGGTCGGTTCGCACCACCGTAGAGGTTAGGAAGATTCCCCAAATCACTCAACCCCATCACACGACTCCAGCCAGTGTGTGTCGAGATTGGTCGGAACTGTCGGCCGCAGCGAGAAGGAATTCGACTTGCGTTCGTTCCTCATCTGACACCGTGAGGGTCGAACCCACATTGCGGAAAGTGATTCCCAGTTAGCTCTGCTGCCTCAGATTGAGGAGCTATAGCGAGCTCTGGATCAGTTTAAGGCTCAGCGAAATGAATAAGG